CAACAATCATTAACAAACAAGCAACATCAGTTAAAATACACCCGTTAAAACCCACATCCATTTAAAAAGATAAATGAAGGTGTACACATATTAAAACAGTCTACATCTAATAATAATATTGAGGGTGAGCGCAGAAGAGTTTCCCATAGCCAGCGGTTCCCTCCCTCACTCGCACATATGGCATTTAGTGGTGTTTTCACCTTTTATATATTGTTGCGGTAATTGTATACCCCTTTAACTAGATGGTTTTAATTGCTTTTCAAAATGTTTGTTGTCAAATCTTTTTAAATGTTTTTAATCTTGAGACCCGTGTTGGGAGAAAGGCAGAGTAAAAATGAAATGAAATAAATAAGTGTTTGTGTGTGTGTGTGCAAAACTTTTCTCCTCCTTCCCCATCCCTTTCCAATCCCTGCCGGCTTCTTGCAGCAGTAGGTTAAAACTATTGGGCAGAAATTGTGAATTTTCCATAGAACTGACCCATTCTTGCCCTTCGTCCTCCTTTAAGATCTACCCCAAATCTTCCCACCTTCATGACAATGTTGAAGGGAACAAGTCTGAATTTCCCTGAATCTGAATTTCTGTGAGCTCTCTTTTGTTGTTGTGTGCCTTCAAGTTGTTTCCGACTTATGGAAACCCTACGGTGAGCCGATCCTGGAGTTTTCTAGGCAAGCTCCTTCAGAGAGGGTTCGCCATGGCCATCCTCTGAGGCTGAGAGAGTGTGACTTGCCCAAGGTCACCCAGTGGGTTTCCATGGCTGAGCTGGGATTCAAACCCTGGTCTCCAGAGTCCTAGTCCACAACCCAATCCACTACCCCATGCAAGTTCTCTTAACTCCCCCCAATTTCCCTTCCCTATCTACAACTCTCTAGAAGCCATGGTTTCCTCCAGTTCAACCGGGCAAAATCCAAAAGAGATTCACAAAAGATGCACTTTCATGCCTTGGGGAAAATTCTTTGCAGGTTGAGGGAAAAAGCCAGAAGAAAGGGTTCATGCAAACTGTTCCCATTGTTTCCGTTTTGTTCCCCTTTTTGGGAGCAAAGGTTGGTTTGTGGCTTCCCTCTTCCTGCAAACTCTCCAGGAGCATCCTACCTTGTTCATGGTTCTCTCCATCCGTCCTATTTCCCACTTGTCCATCTCCAGCTGTTGAGGTTCTGTTCCCAGGTGAATTTTCATATCTATATATCTATATCTATATCTATATATTTGTGCATGGTGCATGTATTCGTGCATGGAGCCAGCATGGTGCAGTGGTTTGAGCATTGGACTACTACTCTAGAGACCAGGGTTCGATTCCCAGCTCAGCCCTGAAACCCAATGGGTGACCTTGGGCAACTCACATTCTCTCAGCCTCAGCGGATGGCCATGGCAAACCCCCCTCTGGACAAAATTTGCCAAGAAAACCCCATGGGAGGGTCATCTTACCATCGCCATGAGTCAGAAACCACTTGAAAGCACATAACAACAAATTTGTGATCCAGGCTTTCCTGCGTCTGTGGTGCCAGGGTCTAAGGTAGAAAGGATCTGTTTTGAGGAAAGAATCCGGCTAGGGAATGAATTGGGGAAGGCCCTGATTTTAGATTTGGCTTTAAACAAAAAAGAACAGTGGAACATTGGCAAAATGAACGCTGGGCTCTAATGCACCTTTGCACTATTTCGGTAGTTTTCAGAGAATGCATATTTGCAAGGTCCGCTTGGCTCCTTCTTCTTTGCTGGGATCTTCTGTGAGCAGTTTAGGGATTACTCTTTAATCTTCTGGAGAATGCTTCCTTCTCTGTGCCTTTTCTCTGCCTGTGAAGGTTGCAGTCCATCTTTATTGTAACTGGCCAACATTTTGGAGGGAGATCTGAAATCTTTCCTGATGTTTTGCTCTGCAGGAGGTGTGTGTTTGCCTGTTATGAGTTGGTGCTACAAAACTGGCATGTGTTTGATGGCTCCTTGATTTGCAAATATTTAGACAGATTTCTGAAGGGTGGAGAGGGTAAATCTATCATTGGGTACTTGGTCCTGCTCCTGTATCCCTGAAATGGGCAAGTTTGCCCAGGTTACTAGTTGGGTTTGCTAGCAAAAGAGTGAGACAGGTGTGAGACCAGGGAAGCCTTGTCATACAGGTGTCTTGGATGCTCTTGTTCAACGAGGAACTGGGGATGATGGGAGGCTTGGGGGAACTCCAGTCCTCTTGGCTTTTGCATTTGACAGTCCAGACTAGTGCCTATGGGAATTTGGATGAGCCGGCTAGCTGTGTGCTCTCCAACTGCGAGGGTTCAGCTATAGGACCTTTGGGGGTCCCTTTGATTGCCTAGGAAATTTCTTTAACTGCAGGACTTGTTTTCCTGCTGGTGACAGCTGAGCCCTGTTTGAGTGTTGCTGTGTTCCTTGCAGCCCAGCCTGCTGTTTATAACAGAGCGAGCTGTTTTACAGAAACAATCGCTTTTACGCTCCACACTGGAGCCATATGCTGGGCTGTCTGTTCTTCTCCCAAGGCATCTTCTCTTCAGGGGTGGCTTGAAAGAAAGCCTCAGCAGTGGCACACAGAACCCCAAGATTCAGTCCCGGTTTGTTTTCTTCTTTGCTTTCTCTCTCTCTCTCTCTCTCTCTCTCTCGCGCGCTCTGTCTTTTTTTCAAAGTTCAATTCCAAGCTATTGAAGCTTCTAAGAAATCTTGGGAGCGAGATGGCAGTGTTGAGAAATCAAAGGCGGGGATTGACGGAATGAATTATTTCCAAAGTGGTGCCTTTGCAAGGCCGAGTGGAGATGGGGAGGGTGCCTTCCTGGGCACCAAGGTCTGGCGGCACTTGCACTCAGCACCCTGCCTTTGGTCTCCCCAAAACCCTGGGAGTCATTCTTAACCCATTAATCTCCTACATTCCCAAAGGCTGGCATGGACTCCCTGTCTGTTGCACTTGTCTTGCTGGTTAGACACAATAACCTTTCTTTTTGCCTTCTCTCTTCCTCTTCTTCTGCTCTGGTGAATAATTCCCAGCGAAGAAGGAAACATTCCCTCCATGGCTTCCTCTAGGTGTCAGCAGTTAGAGCTCTACAAAGCCAGGAGAAATTAGTTTTTTGTGGGTTTTTCGGGCTGTGTGGCCATGTTCTAGAAGAGTTCCTTTCTGACGTTTTGCCGGCATCTGTGGCTGGCATCTTCAGAGAATGCTGGAATGGAAGAGAGTGGGTATATATTCTCTGAAGATGCCAGCCACAGATGCTGGCGAAACGTCAGAAAGAAACTCTTCTAGAACATGGCCACACTGCCCGAAAAATCCACAAAAAACTATGGAGGGCGGCCATGAAAGTCTACGACCTCACCAGGAGAAATTGTTTCTGGGCGTCATTATTTATACCCCGGCCGAATCCCACAAGTTAGGATGGAGTTGTGTTCCCCAGAGTGGCTTAGATCTTGCTGGGGAATTAGGGTTATGATCAACTCATTTGAAATTCGGTGCTGGAGGAGAGTTCTGCAAACACCACCAATGGCCCAAAAGACAGGCTAGTGGCTTCAAGAGCAGATCCAGTCTGAAGCCAAAATGACCACATGTGGTACTTCCAACGTATCACAATATGCCTTGATTCACTGGGAAAGAAATTGATGCTCAGTAAATTGGTATAGTGGTTTGAGTGTTGGACCACAACTTGAGTGTTGGACCACGACTCCAGAGTTCGAATCCCATCTCAGCCATATAAACCTACTGGGCGACCTTGGGCAAGTCGTACTCTCTCAGAGGATGGCAATGGCCAACTCCCCTCATGATAGGTTTGCCTTAGGGTCTGCCATAAGTCAGAAACAACTTGAAGGCACACAACAACAAAAGTAGGAAGAAGTAGGAACAGAGGAAAACTGCAGTACAGGAAGAGTCAATGAAGCCCTGGCTGCCCTGAGTTTGCAAGACCTGAGCAGACCTGCTAAGAACAGGATCACCTGGAGGTCACTTATTCCGAGGGCTGCCAACAAGACAGCACTTTGGTGTATGCATTTATGGGTGTTTGCATAGTCATAGAATGGAGTCATAGAGCTGGAAAAGGGTCCCCAGAGGCCATGGAGTCCAAACCCCTGTTCAGTGCATGAATCGTTATCACATGTGGGCCAGAAAGCGATAATAAAGTGGAAATGAGGCA